GTGATGAAAAGCATCTGGAATTGGAAAATAATATATATCGGGCGCGATGGATAAATTGTCGCCATTTTATATATTTTTTAATTCTGCGCATGCACGTTGTTCTTGATTTTGTCGACTGCCCAGGATCAGTTGGGCAGAAGGTATGTCAGTTGAGAAAACTTACTTTGATCATTCTGATAAGAAAAGAACTCCCGAATTTTTTGGTAAGGGCCTCACTCAATACTAAAGCTTTTATCAAGTGTCTTGAGGAGGTAGTGCTGCCTGGGTCAAGAGGGTGGCTGGCTGCTGAAAGACCCTATGTCTGGCAACAGGACTCTGCACCATGCCACACAAGCAACAGAACCCAGTCATGGCTGTCAGATAATTTCTTTGACTACATCACCCATTACATCTGGCCACCTAACTCCCCACACTGTAACCCCCTTGATTATTATGTGTGGGGCGCAGTTGAACGAGAGACCAGCAAAACTCCTTGTAACACCACAGATGAACTGAAGGCAAGGATTATGGTAGTATTCATCAAGTTAAACAAGGAGGATATTCCAAAGTCGTCTAGAGGCCGTGGTTGAAGCCAATGGCGATTATATTGAATAAATTTACTCTTTAATATTTCATGATATTTTTGTGTAATTTTGGTAAATATATATGATAAAACGTGATGTCTGTGTTTTCATTTTTGCGTAATTCAGACGACGATTTATCCATCGCACAGTGTGTATGTGTGTACATTTATATATATATATATATATATATGATTATAAATTTTTGTGAAATAATTGATTTTCCGTATCATAAATCGATGAACTCTTCTTCAAAAATAACGAAGAAGGGTTTAATTCAGTTTATTTCTTTTTTAAATTTCACTCCAACACGAAATTTCTAAAATCGTATACAAGTATAATAGTACTATGACTTACTAGAACTTTATGGGACCTTCTATGGAAATTGTTTTTGTTTATTTATAAGATTGTGTGTTATGCTATAGCTATAAATTATTAAATTAGTTAAAAAAATACATAAGTACTATCTAACTACGTCATTAGCAAATTGAAAAACAAAGCTTCTCAAATATTTTTATTTTTTTTTTACCTTTTTGCGTATATGGTAAATCGAATTTTCGATTTGAGTGTGGCCTTTTTCAAGAACTAAAGTTAATGCCTGATATATATATTATGTATTTTTAATTCCTTTAATAATTTATAGTTATAACATACACACACGTGTGTAATATAATATATATATATATATATATATATATATATATATATATATATTATATATTATTATTTTTTATTTTATTTTTTTTTTTTTACTGGAATCAGTGGGGAATATATTAGCATAAACACGTGCACTCTAAGCTGTAAAAGGGAATTCCCTGACTAAAAGCTTTTATTCAAAATTTAATAACCCGTACAAAAGTTAAAACCTCCACGGAAAAAAATTCTACACTGAATTAAAAAAAAAAAAAAAAAAACTCTCATAATGACTTTCCTAATTACATCGTTGATGAACAAATAAGACGAGCCATTAGAAATATTAACATAAATCAAAAAGAACATAATACTTCCTCAAATAATCCTAAACGTATCAACCTACTATACCGTAATCAAATGCATTCTAATCATAAACAAGATGAAAAATTCCCACCCCAAAATTTAATAAGTACTAATATATTCCCCATTGACCCACTAAAAAATAAAACTAATTATATATTCTACTAAATTTAGCACAACCAACTTAATTATACGCAATAACTCTTCTCCATCAGTGAGAGCTTTGGAAAAGACTAACATTGTATATCAGTTTAAATGTCCTTTGCGAGATCTGGCAAAAAAAAGTACACATGTTGGTTTGACGACCACCACATTACCAAGACGTCTTACATTTCATTTGTCGGATACAATTCTCTTGCACAACATATAAAAACACATTCCTGTCCACTTTCACAATACAAAAAGAAAATTTGACAACACCAATATACGACACCACGAAAATAATAAAGAAAAACTTCAAATACTCGAGGCCCTCTATATCAAAAGCAATCCACCAACACTCAACAAAATTTATTATGAGTGTAGCAGCAACGTGTTGATGTGCATTTACCAAACTTTTAACGCCACTTTGCATGCAACCAATTTCCGGTCAGATTCCTTATATTGAGACTCTTATTTTGCAAAATACTTCGTAGCTATAACGGATAAATCTAAAAATTTTAAAATAATTATAACTAAACACGTTCACGCGTGTTTTTTTGTTTGTTTGTTTTTTTTTTTAATCATGCTCACAACGAAATGCAGATTTTATCACAGTTACAATAAATTTGTCTTTGTAATTTATCCCTGATGATGAACTTGGAGATCGAAAGTACTTGTATAGGAAAAAACTACGTACGGTGCCTTCCCTGATGAATTTCAACTTAACATCAAGAAATTGATTAGAGAACTGGAAAAAATCAGTTTAAAAATAGACATAATATGTCTATATTATCAAATGAAACTTGTTTGAATATAATTTAATATAATCTCCATGGTCATACTTTATAGTTTGAGAAAGACGCTATACTGTCAATATCTGTGAACACGGCTATTATTTCTGAGACCAAAGTTGGGTCTACAGATACAGTTGAAGCATGAAACATTGCTTAAAGCTACAAGGGATCAGAATTTGTGGAATCATGATCTAGAATAGCTTCGTCTGTTCAGGGCCATAATGAGCAACATATTGTGTAACACGGTTGCATCAAAATAACAATTCCTAGTTTAACTTAGAGCTAAATTAATTGCGTATTTCCGCCGGTGCCTCTCATTCAAACAAAAATTCGAATGCTGATTTTCAAGGAATACATATCTTCTCTTTTTGGAGAATAAGTGCAAAATCATCTTAAATTCTTTTTAAGCTTAACTCAGCCTTAACTTAAATGCAAACATTTATTAACTTTGGCACAAGGTGAAAATTATAAAAGATCCAGTGATTGATTTTTTTTTTGTGTTCTTCAGAACTTGCCTTAAGACGCTGCATATATGAATCAGCTTGAAAATTATATTTTAAAAATGCCACGTCATTTAGGACACTGTCAATCATGGTTCTCCTGTTTTTCTTCTGCGAATTGTCGTGCCTTGTTGGAAAAGATTGGAAAAGAGTGGTTTTCCACTGATTTTAGGAATTCAGTTTTCCTTCGAGTAGTTACCACCTACGGCTAGAGAGCCTAGTCTACACTGCTATTTAACCCATAGCTGATATGTTAAAAATTAATGATATAGTTAGTTTAATACTCGATATAAAAGAAAATCAAGCTTGTACGAAGCTGTTAAAATTTTATTGACTTTTTTTCTTTAATGCCACATCTCTTCAAAAAATAGGCTCTAGCCATATTCCGTTTCTTTATTATGTGAATTGCTATAACTGCTGGTAAAAATAGTGATTTCCCGTTGCCTTCCCCACGATTTTCAATTCAGTCTTTCTTCTAGGCTTGGTATCACTCGGTGCTGGAGATTCCTGTCTACCCTGCTATTTAACCCATAGCTGAGAATGAGAGGAGTTAAATTCATGCCTTCCCGAAAGCCGTTTGTGCGAAAGGGAACACAACAGATAAAGGCGGGAATTTAAACCCGGTTTTCAGATTCCTCTTTCTGTGCAGATAACAATTAGGCCTACGCTACCCCGCACAGCCCTTCTGGACTCTTACTTTTTGTAAGATTGAGTTATTTAAAATAATTTTGTCCAGTTTGCCAAATCAGTAGCTGGTTTATGCTCGGTTAGAAAAACAAAGCTGTATTTTATTTCACTCGTAGTTGTTAATCTATCGTAACTCAGTTTTTAACAATGACAATCAATACCCGTAGAATATTTCTCTTCGTCTTTGGTATTTTCGTATCATGATGTAAAAGGCTTTCACAATACAAGAAATAATTAATCAACGTTGAGTAGAATCCGTAACATTACGCTTGGTCACATAAAATAGACAATAGAATAGTTGATTTTTTTAATTTTTTTATTATTCGTTCTTTCGTTTGTATGTCTTCTGAAAAAGAAAGATGTGAATATGGGTCTACCCGTGTTTTTTTTTTTTTTTTTGTTAATTAAAACTCTTGATAAATGTCCTTACGACACAAGGCTGACAGGAACATGAGTACCTCGAATGATCAACATGATTTGCCGTCTCTTTCCGTATGCAAATCAATAGTTTTCTTTTTGTTTTTGTTTTTCAGGAAAGCATACCGATCGTTAAAGATGATCTGTTAATTTCACGGCCCGTGTGAAAAGCTTAAAACTAGTCTCTTAATGGCTCTCTTGTTTGCATCAATATTGTTTAACTTTGGTCTCTAATTAGACGTAACAAATTTTAGTTCAGTCTATTGTGTGTGACAAGAAAATTACAGAGTTGGTAATTATCCTTGTTATAGCTTCTTTTTTTCTTCTTTTTTTTTTCCTCGTAGCTATTTTTTATTATTTATTTGCTGCTATAAATCTGAAAGCGACGAGACTTCGTACAGTTACATGGTGGGTTTCACTAATACCCTAGACCCAATGATTTGTGATCGGAGTTTTTTTTTTCTTTAAAATCAAGACCTATAGCCCACATCTAAACTAAAGATCAGATTTCTCACTCGATGTTTTTATTTATTTTATTTATTTCCTTATTGCAGAAACAAAACTTGATATTTCCTAGCGTGGGGTCAGTAAAATGTATTGACATTACGGGTCGGTATTACAGTTTGGTAAGGAGAAAGAAAGAAAAAGCTTGATCATCCGAGAGTTCGACCCTTACCTCCATCGATCTCCCCACCACCACGACCATCACCGCTACCTTCACCACCCACCTACATATCTCCACCCACCTTTTAAGTTGGTGTTTGCTTATTTGTTGTGTTGTTACGGGTTTTGTTTTTAGCAAGCCCCACCTTGTTCAACTTAACGTTCCCATCCCCAACATTCTAATCAGGGTTGGTTATCTACTCCTTTCTAGTACCATGCACCCTCATTCTCTTGCCTGTTAACAGGGACCTATCCCCCGTCGTGAAGCTGTCCTTAACTTCAACCTTTACCCACATCTACTTCTCTGTCGGAGCTGGCTGTTAAGCAGGAGTGGCGGTGTTGGTGAACTTCTTCAATGGCGGAAGGAGAGACTCTTCTTCTCTATAGTTAAAATCGCGCTATCTACGCCCCACCATTCACTTTCCTTTTTCTCTCTTTATTGGCATCTCCTTTCATCGTCTAGTTTTCATTTTTTTCTAGTGAAATCTGATGTCGTTTCTTTCTCTTTTTCACTTTCTTTTTCACTTTCTTTTTCACTTTCTTTTTTATTTTTATTCCTGGACCCTTCTTTTTTTCCCTCGACTGAACAGGCTCTTTTTCACTCGTCATCACCCATCCTTCCTCTCCCTAAATGCACAGTCAATCTCCCCACCCCATATGGCTCCACTACTGCTGTTTTCTCTGCTAAGTGGATAGAAAAGGATGGGGGCGAGAAATAAAGGGCTGATTCCATAGAATAAACACACCATCTACATTTTTCTTTTCTCTCCCTTTCTCTCTCTCTCTCTCTCTCTCTCTCTCTCTCTCTCCCTTTCTCTCTCTCTCTCTCTCCCTCTCTCTCTCTCTCTCTCTCTTTCTTCTTAAATTTTTCTTTTCGGGGAAAGCTGGTTGTGACAGGAAGAAAAAAGACTTTGTCTTTGGCCAAACTTTGCTTAGTCTCTAAATAATAATAATAATAAAATCGTGTTCTCCTTTGAACGAAACAAAAACGATTGACAATAAAATACTGCTACACTCCATGTTATGCTTATTGCCTAATATGAGAAAACAAAAAACAAAAAAAAAGTACGTTCTTTTGGATCTTTTCAAGTGACATTTTTAGTTATTCAAATAATGGCAAGTAATTAGCTTCCGGTCTGATTTTCTTTAAAGTACTCTTGCACTAATACGCTGGATCGGAATAGAAATTTCAGTTATGAAGACTCCTCTCCCCTTTTTGTCACCAAACGGAAATTATTCTTGCTGTAAGAGACACGAATATTGCAAATACCATTTCTGAATGGCCAAAGTAGTTGTTGGCTATTGTGATTTGATTTTACGAGGAGTTTGAAACACTAAATCCAGCTTTGTCTTGCGTCTAGTTCATACTTCATAGTATTCGTTAAAATAGTTCTTCTTACCCAATTTCTTGTCTTTCTCCTTGCCCACCCTTTTTTCTTTCATAGCTGATTACGCGAATCTTGAGTTTTGCTCTACGTTTTTGTCAAATGTTTTATTTTGACAGCTACTGTAATGGGGGTTATGGTTAGTAATTGATTTCCATCTGGATATGACATATGAAACGTCTTTAATAGAGGAATAGTGTTGCTAAGGAAAATTAGAGATATGTCACATACACATCTTTACGAATATATTGATCAGAAGTAACATTGAACATAATGATCGATGTTTTCGTTTTACTCTTTCATGCCTAAAATTTTAATTACCTTTTGAGGTCACAGAAGATGGTGGGAGTGAAATAAACTCACTGACAACTATTTTACTTCTTTTTATCTGTTGATGGCTGATTCGGAAATGGAACTACAGGATCTCCTAGACAAAATGGTAGAAGAAATCGAGAAGAAGCCAGACAAATGAGTTACGATTTGGAAATATAAACATCAAGCAGGTGTAGAAACTCAAATATCTAGGAAGCGTTTTAACAGAACATGGAAAATTTGACATCAAGGCGATCCGAACACGCATTGGACTAGCGACAGGCATTCCAAAAACTAAGCAAGGTGCTGAGAAACGGGAAAATTCGTTAGAAACAAAGAGTGCTGTATTGCTATACGATATATATATATATATATATATATATATCCTCTTATATGGCAGTGAGTGTTGGACAATTTCCCCAAGGATGAAGAAAAAACTTGAAGCAGCAGCAATGTAATTCTACAGAAGGATACTGAAAATTCCATTGACGGAGCGAGTAAGCAATAAAGAAGTCATAAAGAAAATGGCAAGAACGAATATTTATACTCCGAATCGGGAAAAGACGACTGAAATTCCTTAGACACATAATGAGGAAGGAGGACTTGGAAAATTTAACTCCCACGAGACATAATGAGGGTAAGAGATAAGGGAAGGTAACGCATCACGTATTTGATGAGCTTGTGTCAATGGATGGCGGAACGGGAGTGTTAGTAAAGGAGAAAAACTACTAAGAGCCACATGAGACAGGAAGTTGTGATGAGCAATTATCGCCTATATCCTGAAGGGAAGCGGCATATAGATCTGTTCTCTCTTGTATACACACACGACTGAGTAATGACCAACAAAATGCTTTATTTCTTTTTATTTTATTTTATTTTTTATTTTTATTTTATTTTATTTTATTTTTATTTTATTTTTTTTGCTGTTTCGGATCATTTTTCTGGTTTCCTGTACTTATTTAAATATAAATTGTCCAATATCTGAATACCTTCAACATTCATAAGCCATTATCAAAGTTTGTGTTATTGTATGGTTAAAACATGTTTTGTGTGCTTAGAGTACAGCAGGCTTAGCAACATTCTGCTACATTTGAGAGAAGGATTCCATTTAAATTCATAAGAAATTGACTTTACTCAATTTATATTTACGTTTTTTCAAAATTGTTGATTTTGGTGCTCGCATGTTGAGTTACGCATGCAGACTTGTTACTGGGATGTTATAGTGAGTTCGATCCTCACTGTGTACGAACTATGCATTATTCTATGCCAATCTGAATAAATACCTTATTGATGATTCTCATCGCATTAACCCAATGGAAAATACGGATATATTAATTAATAAGTAGGCATTAATAACTGTTTGAAATTATGACATGAATTAAGATTATTCGGCTTGTTATTTCCATTTTCACATCCGAAGGTATTACCTTCCGTAGTTTATTAGGTTGAATCATAAGTAATTTCCGTTTTGGGGGACCAATTGTAATGACGAATATATCTATTCTACCCAACCTGTCATACTCACCTGAAATTTTTACCAACTTCTTTTTTTCTTTTTCTTTTTGTCGATCGCTACAAAAGGCTTTAACGGGGGGGAATTTTTTCTAATAAAAACCAGAATCAAGAGTTCATCGAAAACTTATGTCAAAACCTGCGGAATTTTACTCAAAAAGTATCGAAGAACTGCCTGATAAGTGTCATTGAAAATAATAATTAATATATAATCGAATCAAATGTATTTGTACTTTTTGGAAGAATTAATGGAAATTATTCATGACTCAACCTAATTGTTTAACGTCCGAAGAAGTTCGTACAATCACAGAAATTAAGCAATGTTGAGCCTGGTCAGTACCTAGTTGGGTGACGGCTTGGAAATACGAGGTGCTGAAAGTTTGGATGTACGAGTAGTGTAATAGATAATGGCTCGGAATTTTAAATCGGAGAGCCGAGTTCCAACCCCATTCGGGTTAGTTATATTCGTTCAAAGGCAAATACCCTTGGAGAAAAATATGAATCATCATCTCTCTCCAGCTATAAATTAATTAGTAGGACATGTTTAGGTAAATCAATATTTAATTATCTCCAAAACTTCTTACAATCTAAAACTATTTCCTGGCTTTAAATAAACTGCAAAAAGTTTGATACGCCATAAAAAAAAAAAAAAAAATTCTGTGTCATTATTCTTCCTCTTATGGTGGGAATGTTAATAGCTATTCGCTGATTTACAACAAAACACCCCTTTAAAATGCAATTATGACCATAAACCAGCTTTGAAAGCAACACTTACATGAATTTATGTGGAGTTACGGATTTGGCGATAATACATTTAAATTATGCATTCATTTTCAATTTTATTAATAAGGTAATTAAATTTGTCTATTATAGCTTCGTAAATAACGATAGTCTGCAATAAAACATGCTCCCCCCGCCCCTTAGACTGCTTTAGAGAGGAGGCTGTTCATTTGTCAAAAGTTAGTGAGGAAGGGCTTCCAATGATCTTTCTAGGTAGGGATGGAGGAGTAAGGGTTTTAAAGAGATCCAGATATTTTGGATGAAACATTTTTTTTATAATCTCAAAACAATACTGAGACACAGACACACACACACACACACACACACACACACACACACACACACACACACACACACACACACACACACACACACATCCTTGGAAATTGTACGGATGTTAACAACTATGATTATCCATTATCTTCTACCTCTTCTCTTTTTCAACCTTTGCATTTATCTTCTCATTTTCTCCCATATTATCCCTTCCAATCTTTTTGTTGTCTGACCATATTTTATCTTAATCTTATACAAACATTACTTTTCATATATATATATATATATATATATATATATATATATATATATATATATATATATATATATATATATATATATATGTGTGTGTGTGTGTGTATATAATAAAGAGAAAGAACAGTAAGATATATAATCCGGTGTTCTTATTAATATTTTTATTTTTACAAAACAGTGCTCAATGCAAATCTACAGAGCATAAATATTATAAATTTACTAATTTAAAAATATGGTTCCATCGCTACACAGGAATTACCATGTTTCAAAAACAAAAACTTCAAATTCAATTATAGAATTAAGTTATTCCCTAGTCCTGTTTCATTTTCAAGCGAATTTTGGAATATCTTATTTTGAAATTTACTGAGTTTTATAAGCACATACATTCATAATATTAATTTCTATGGATATGGGGAAATCCAATCATTTTAACAAGGGGCAGTATGGTATTCTTTTTCACTGACAACTATTGTATCAAAAATTATGAGTTACTTTCGAAAAGAGGTTAAGTCAAGGTAGGGTAGGGGTGTCTTTTCAAACGAATGATGACATCCGTTCAACGCATGCCGTTTGGTCTTTATCAACGACAAAACGCTTTTCGGCACTTTTTTCCACCGTTAAATTTGTACTTGTATACATAAAGATTTTTTCTAAAAGGGTTGTTTGTATATGAATACGTCATATTGAACTACAATTTTAAAATATTATTCTTAATTTTAATTACTAATAGACTATACTTCTTTTAAAACCTATAAATGTAATAAAATTACTTAAATTATTTAAAAATTATTATTGAAATATCAAATATAAATATGTATATTTCATTTATCAGGTTTTTTTTTAAACATTATTTAAGGAAAATTTTTGACAATGTCGGCAAAGAATAGCTATTTCATTTCTTTTATTAAGTAAATTTTTATTTTTTATAAACCTAGTAATATATAGTTTCTCATTTATGCACAAAGGATAGATAAATACCGAACTCGGACGTCACTTTCGAAATATTTCTGGCACTTAAAAGAAACCAATAAAACACCTACTGTGAAATGGAAATTACTAAGAAAAACTAGAATATGTAGATCATTAAATGACCCATGTGCTTGAAGTTTTTAGTTTCTGTTTTTGAAACATGGTAATTCCTGTGTAACGATGGAAACATTTTAAAATTAGTAGATTTATAATATATATATATGTGTGTGTGTGTGTGTGTGTGTGTGTGTGTGTGTGTGTGTGTGTGTGTATAATATTAGTTCGGTATCCCGTCGTTTCGGTGACGGCAATATAACCAAATTTCTAATCTAAATTGGTGAAAGAAGACGTTGCTCTTGGGGCCCTATCCGGTGGGTTATGTATATTTGGATGAATATCACTACCGGATATTTAGTGAGTAGCTGCACTATACTGAATCTAGTTAGTTTCTTCTTCG